TCAATAGGTAGACAAAATGCCAAATCCAGTCTGAACATCTGGCTGACTGTGCGGTGATCAATAATAATAATAATAATAATAATAGAGCCTATTTCACCTTATAACTGCTTGAAAAGATCATGCACTGGAAGATTTTTTTGTTCCACTGATTCTAAGGAAATTATAATAGCAATTGAAATTATAATAGCAATTGTTAATATATACTACCCAGGATATGGCTGATCTTGGTTTATTAAAATATGAACTTGGATTGAATTTGTTTAATGTTTGGGTAGGAGATGATTAGGAAAATGGGACTGAGTTAAACTGGGAAATTGAAAATAGCCCAGAAGAAGACAATACAAATTGCTTTTGAACTGTTTGCAAGAAAATTTCATGGATGCATTCATATAGTTTTAGCAGTTACTGTTCTAGAATTTCTTATAAATTATTCCAGTAAGAATTTGCAAATAACACTCAACAAATCTAAGTAGTTCTCCAAACACCACTTTTTAAACTGTGTGATATGTAGCTATAACAGTGTTCTTAACAAAACGCCCCACTGCCTAAGTTATAAGATATTTAGTGCAAAAACTTTACCATCTTTTTATATTAAATTCCTAATTAATAGATTTTTGATGGACCAAATCAAATAATATTGATTTAACAGTTCTGCCTCTTCACGTTTTATGTGTGAGAAATAAAAAACTCCCAAATTCCTCGTCTATGATGGTTATAGAGACAAATTAAAATTAGAAAATAAAATAGGAAAACATAGTTTGAAGTGAGAGGTGATTCACAATTTGGGTTAATAATCTAGAGACAGGTTGTTTACTGCAATCCACATCAGTGGAGAAACACCAGGTACAACCTTTTCAACAAAATGAAAAAGAGTACAAAGAAAAAAAAACTAAATGTTTAATCTTAGAGTTTTAAATAAAATCTACAGCAAAAGGTTGTATTAAAATCAAAGAAAAATAACTACAATATATTTGAAATTATACAGAGCACTGTTATATTTTTCTACTGTTTTTAAATCTGGAGTAGAAAAATGGACAGTTAGGCATGATGCTCATAGCAGAATTTAACAAGAGCAATAAATAATCTAATTTGCTATATTGTGAATTAATTATAAATAGTTTATATCTTCTTTCTCCAATAAATGTACCTCATTGGGCTGAATCAAAGCATACTTAAATACAGAATAGAGTTTGAAGACTTCACTGCATATTCCAGTCTTTTGCATTTATAGCAGGCTGAGTTCAAATGCTTTTCCTCTCAAGCTAATGTGCACTAAAGGTTTCTCCGAACACATTGGGCATTAGCTTTTATCAGTCCTACCTGTACAGACACAAGGGGAATCAATGTCCAACATGTTTGTGGGATATCAGGTTGGATAAGGCTAAGGACTGCAATTTGAAATGGATTATCAATTGTTATTGATTATAGGAAACTCTTGATGGGTGACATTTGTTGATCATGGAAAAAAGGTAGCTAATTATTGCCATGTCTGAAATGGATTTTCTATGCTTGAAAACAATACATCTGATATCAGCATACTCAAGAAAGACTTGTCTCAGCATACCAATTTGATTAGTTTCCCAGTGGCAAATGATGGCCATTTCTGCAGGCAAAATGGCTGGATTAAACAGCCCAGGTCTGTTTAATGTGATAGTAAAAGAAGGAAAATAATCTAAATAACTGGATTATGTGTTTTCTAAATTAATTCAAAATAAGAAAAAGTGAAATTATCTAAGCTCCTAGGTAGTTGGACTTGATAATTTTATTTTATATATACATAGAATAGTTGAAAAGAAGCAATATTAGGAAATTACTCCTTGCTTCCTCCCTCCCTCCCTCCTTCCCTTTCTTCCTTCCTTCCTTCCCAAATGATTGATATGTAAAGAACAACTTAGTTTTCAAAGGTTCTTTGAATGCTATACTTCGCTTAAAGCTTTGTTTTGTATTTTTATGTCAAACCATTTCCATAAATAAGCTATCTGGAAAATTGGTTGAGTTTAGTTCATCTTAATGTATTCTCCCACCCCTCCTTTCTCTTACCAGAGTATTCTAGCTACATCCTTTTCACTTCAACTTCTTTTTTTAATGACTGCATGTGGCAAGAAGGGTTTTTCTTCTGGCTGCCAATTTGCAGATATTAAACCCTTACATTTACAGAGGAACCAATATATTCCAAACTGCCTTTTATAATTCATTTCCACAGATGTAAAAATAGAGTGAGGCTAAATCGTAGTTTTACATTTATTTATTTTGAATCCAAGTTAGCTACGCCTGACTTGAAATTGTTATTTTAAACTATATTTTCGTAAAGTATTCTAACGGGAAATTTCAATCTTTATTCTCTGACAAATGTTTTACAGTAATAGGCACTGCTCTTTTTGGCCTAGTGATATTAGCCTTCAAAATATCTTGGACTTTCAAAAACAGATGACATTTCAGAAAATTCTGACCTTGGCAATGTATAAAACCTAAATACTTGACCTTTCTGTAGATTTCAAAGAGACCTTCCATCCACATTGAATCTTAAAACATTGCTACAACTCTGCTGAGTTCTTTGCAGTCAAGCTCATGTTGTCTAAATGGCCTTATCAGTTTGTTCTCTATGTACAAAGTGCTATTTGTTATTTTTAAATTGAAACTTTAGATATAAAAACAAAAGAGTTTTCATATGCAGATTCTAATTGCTAGAATTTCAGGTACTTTGATCTTGGTTCTTGTTTTTCCAATTTTTAACTCACCCACCATTGCAAGCTGAGTTGAATTTATTAAGGGCATTAATTATAAAATATGCAGATATTCTGGGAGCATACAATATTTCTTCTGTAAGAAGTAGAAAATGTAACTATCTTGTATTAACTGGGAACTTACATAGATTTTCACCAGTACTTTCTAGTTTTCAGAAATTACAGCCCCAAATGTCAACATATATCACATTCCTAGATAATTATGTAATTGCCCTTTATCTATAATATCTAAATAAAAACATTTTTTGTTCCAGATCAAACTTTTCAACCTGGATCTCTAGACTGAAAGTACCATTCTCCCTAAGGATAGTTTAATAAAATGCAGACCAAAATTCTGCACTGATAATAACCTAGTCATACTTTAAAAAAATATAAACTTTAATTTCCATTAGGGTCTTGTTGTGGTAGAATGTTCTGTATCAAGTCTGAAATTCAAGCATCTGCAACTCAAATTTAAAAGAAATTCAGTTTATAGTTTCTAGCATTATATAAGATAATGACTTCTAATTAAATGAAACTTAGAGGGAAAATCATTTTATAGCATATTTGAACACCACCACAATCCTACTTTAAGGTGGTTTGTTTGTGGCTCAGTGTTATGAAATTCAATCAGAGAATGGCTTAATTCAGTGAATCACGATTAAATAAACCAGGTGTTAACATGTTTCACAGGCATGACTCACTCTGAACTGGCTTTTATTCTTATGGGTCCACTGTGGATGTATAGAAATGAAAATAGATCATATCATGACCAATAGTTGTAGAGTAAGAGAAAATTCATATTATAATTCTGTTAATATTAATTTAGCACTACAATACCTAATTTGAAGAACTGCATTGTTCTTTTCAATTATTACATTTTGCTAACTGAATCGTTCAAATAATGGTGTAATGGAATGGAAAGATTCCAAAATTAGAAGATTCCTATTAGAGAAACTGTTTATCATAAACTCCCAGATATTTTCATAGGGATTCACTATTATATCAACAATATTTATGACATTGAGTGGGATAATGCTACAGCAAATGTGGTTCCCTGCTCTGAGTTTCTCACACATTCAGGCAGCCCTGGAAGAAAATAATAGTCAAATGTTATTAGTTCAATTTAGATATACTTAATTGAAGTATCTTAACTGAAGTTATTTGTATTGCTGTATTCTGAAAAGAGTTCTATAAGAAGTTTGCTTTGCTTTGCCATGGCTTTTCCTACAAACCATATGGTACCATAACAATGCAGGGAAATAATAATGCTCATTTTAATAATATTTTAAAATTTCTTGGTTAGAAATTACTAAGTTTTCATCTGTGAATTTAATTGTATATTACACACATAGTAATAATATGTTTATTATTATTAAATAACATTTGCCTTATCCTAGGTTCCTGGGAAGGACTGGATAAGTGGTCAAAAATGTCAAATCTAACCTAAGCATCTGGCTGACCAATCATAACAATGTATTTCTTGGCATGGAACAATCCTCTAGCGTCTAAAATATTTCCCTTTAGTCTTTTCATGGCTGGAGAGGACATTAGATTAAACCACTTGCATTGATACCGGCCTGCTTCCACACTCCCACTAGGAAGCAAAACAAATCCTGGCCCACCTCTCTGGGAACCGCGGGACGTGTAAGCGCGTCAATAGTGACTAGCGCTGAACCATCGTCAGTTGAAGTTGTTTCTGCTTTTCCGAACCCGAGCGATAGGTAAGCGTCCCACTTCTGCTTTCAGTTTCTTTGAACGAGGCTCGGACCTTTGGAGAGAAATAGATCCCACCCACCCCCGCACCCAGCTCCCCTAGTGACTCTTCCGATCGAATTAACCCTGAACCGCTCTTTCGGTGAGGCGCTCTGCTCTGCCTTGCTGTTGCCTCCAGCTTGGGGAGCCTCTGATGTTCGATCGTGGTCGATTCTTCGAGGCCGGAGAAATAGGGAGAATGGCTGCGGGGAGGATTGACAGAGAGAAGCTGCCTTCTTGCTAAGATCCTTACTTCTCTCTCGCCCTCTTTTCTCTTCTGCTCCTTCTCATTTCTCCTTCCTTCTCCTTCTCTCCACCCTCTTTTTCTTTTTTCTTTTCTTTCGTTTTTCATTCCTCTTTTCTATATTTTCCCTTCCTTCTTTTTCTTTTTTCCTTTCCCGTTTTTCTCTTTCCTTCATTCCTTTTCCTTATTTTTTTTCTTTCCTGTTTTCCTTCTTTTTTCTCTTCGCCATTTTTACTGTACTTTTTTCTGCTTTTCTATTTCCTTCATTTGTTCCTCTTTTTACCTCTTCCTTCCTCCCTTCTCCTTTTCTGTACTTTTTCCCGTTTTTCTCTTTCCTTCTTCCTTCCTTCCCATTTTCTTTTTCCTTATTTCTTTCTTTCCTTTTCTTCCTGGAAAGCTAAAAGAGAGGAAGGCAGCTGTGGAAGATGCAGAACTGTCTAATTCTGGGGAATACTATGCTAAGAGAACTAAGCCCTTGCTGGTAAGCAAACACACCTTCCAACCTGCCTTGTCATCCATTCTTCCCAAGTTCACACCCAGTTTGTGGGAACAAGAACTCAGGATCTCTTCTAGTTCATATGTTTAACCATCAAAAGTATGTGTGAGAAGAGGGTGAGATAGGAGTGAGGGAAATTACACCACTGAGAAGAAGCTAAAGATCCTATAGATCCCAAAGCGTTTCGATGGGTTAACCTATACACAGCTGTCTCCATCCAGAAAGACACCAAATGAGGTAAAGCTGATTAAGGTTGCTTAAAGTGAAGATTGCTTAGGATCTAAAGTGCACTTAAGAACAGTACAGGGAACAGAATGCCTCTTTTGTGAATGATTGCTGTGCAATCCTCATCCCTGGCTGCAGAGTATGAGAATTTGCAAGGATGGTATTCCTGAATAAGAGAATGAGAAAGCAGAGGAGAAGTTCAAGGCATCTGAGATTTTGGTTTGGAGATCAGAGGCAGCTGAAAGAAGAGGTCAGGAGAGGGTGAATTCTGGGTGTGTGTCTAGCTAGAAGTGGAACTTTTGAAAATGTGATGAGGGATAACAATGGAAATGAATCAGCAATTCACATGTACCAGAATAGAATACTGATATTTGTTTCCAAAGCTAAGGCTACAACATTGGTTCCTGAAATTACTCCCACTACAAATATGTAAAAAGGGAATGAGGATGGATATTCAGTTCCTTGTTACCTGTCTGTGCTTTGTTGACAATTTAGTTCATGTCTAAATGGAGCCTTTATGCCTGTTTCTAAATTTTCAGAGTACATCAGTGGTAGCTCAATAAAAACCTAAATTTGCAAGACTTTCTAATATTTGATTTTTTTTTTTTAGATTCTACCTGCCAGAATCTCAGCTGCAATTTCTCTCCTACAGAATACCCACACATAAATTGAACTAACACAAGGAACAAAGACTTTGAAGATTAAATGTCATGCTTACAAGTACTTTTTAAACATTATTTCAAGACATAATATTAGGCATTTGTGTGCCCATGTCCTCTAATGCTACACATTCTCCAGAAAATTGAATATGAGTATAATCATGCCAAAGACCAGCATTCTCTCTTCAAAGTTAGTCAGTCAAGGAAAGTGAAAAGTTCGACAGCTCACTGTTTTGCACAGCTTCTGTAAAGTGCCACGTTCTCTGCAAGAATTTCTTAGAGTCTTAAAATGAACTATAGTCTTCTGTATAAAACACGGATGAAATCTCTGCTATCAAAATAAAAATGAAAACAAGTTCCTTTCAAAAGCAGTTTTCATCTACTTTTCTATTAGGTTTTAATAGTTCTTAGAAAATACATGATTCCTATATGTATGAATTAAAAAATGCAGTGCATTTGAGCGTAACATATTTTAATTGAGTATGCCTTTAGGAATTCAAAAAAGAACACATTACTTTATGAATAAGAGGGATAATGTAGATCAAATTAGTTATTTGAGTGAATCCTCTCCTTCTGGTGTTTGGCTTCTCTCCTCTCATGGTCGGGCACCTGTTCATTCCTGCAATTTAGAAGCAAGAGAGCTAATTATATATCACAACAAGTGACTTGCTCTCTTTTACCCAAAAGGTAAATGGGGGGAAAAGTAAAATCTTCTCTGAGAGGAACCACTGTGCTTTCTTGGACCCATTCATGCTATTTTCTTGCCAACAACATAAAGCAATATAGTGCTTTGCTACTTCCTTCTTCCAGATATGTTTACATTGGTCCTATACTTTCTGATAATTTGTCATCTACCAATCAAAGTTTACTGTTTTGATCCTAGCAAGATCAGTTTGATGTTGCCAACTCTTGAGATGAGTAAGAGACATCAACATCCTTATGAAAGGTAGTTAAGGCAATTTTTCAGATCATATGCCATTAAATGTATAAATACTGTAAAGTTACAGCACACATCTGATTAGATTTTTGAAAGCATAGTATATCTACTTTCTAGGCATATTCTGGAAACATGAAGCCATTTTTTACAGAATGAATTATTTAAAAAGAATGACTCTGAGCCAAAGTTTTCATTTTTAACTTATAAAACATTTAAGATTTTTTTCTCCCTCCCAGCTAAGATGTATTTTTGTTGCAGGTAGGTTTCTACTTGAAAGACAGATCCTGATTTTAAAATATATATCTTTGTTTTAAAATTTAATTTTTAAACAAAAGGAGTAATTAAGAATCAGCTTGACACAGCGAAAGAAAAAGGCGCGCGGGGGGGGGGCGGCGGTTTGCATGGGTAATCTTGAGAGTGCCAAAACTTTCTGGAAAAAGAGCAGCTGAGTTTTTCAAGGGTTGGGAATTATGAATTCGATGTCGGCAAGGAATCAGTCGCCTCCTCTCTTATAATCAGGGTACAGTTATAAAATTGGATCGAAGAGTGGATTGGACTCGGAATGCTGTTTGGGATAGAGGAGGATTCGCGGGTCTAATTCCCTTCTGCCAAGGGAAAGGGGACGGTGAAAAGGCTAGGCAAATTCGGTGGAAAGATTACTCTTTGCCGGGACGTTCAGCAACTCTTGAGACAGGAACGAAGGGAGGGAGATGTTGCAACCGGGCGGGCGCAAAGTACAGCCAGATCCAAGCTTATTCGGCCGACAAACTAGAGGAGGGGGATGGGAGGAGAAGGGAACAAAACTAAAAATCAAGTACAATTTTGGATTTGCCTTCCTCTCGATGCTGTTACATAATTGTTTCTCCTCTTGGCATCTGTCCCAGCGTTCTCTAATTTTTTTTTTAAAGAGAGAAATAGTATGACGCAAAAGGGCCACCGGGAGTGGGGTGGGGGATCTGTAACTGATTATTTGCCTGGGCGCTGCTGTTACACTCAATTTCTCGCAGGAAACTCGAGCGCTGCCTAGCTCCAGTGCCCCGCTGCTTTTAAACCCCCAAGGAAGGAGGCAAATAAATCTGCCTGAGGCCGCAGCCCCCTCGCCCTAAGCGGTTGTTGTCAGAGTCTAAGGCTACTGAGACGAGCCCCTCTTTCACTGGGGAGAACGGGGCAGGGGGAAAGCGCTACAATTCTGCGACTAGACAGAGAAAGGAACTGCAAGGGGGGAATATGCAGTGGGAGGTTGATCGCTCTGGCCAGGCAAGAACAGAGGCGCTTCGGCACCAGATCCCCCTTGCTGGCCCCCTCTTTGGAGGGACTGCTGCGGGTGGAAAAGTGGCGAGAGCCAACATTGCAGACGTAACTTATGCTGTTTCTTGGGCAAAGAGGGGATCTTTATAAAGCATTTTGCAAAGAGCACGTTGGTGCTGCAAGGAAGAAGGCGAGGCACGGAAAGGGGGTTGAGCAGAACCACCCTTTAAATTGCTGCAGAGCAGATTTTGTAATATGCCTGCACCGTATGGTTTTTATTTCATGCACATTTTCAATAAGTGGAGTGTAGACTTTACGGGGGGGGGGGGTTGCATCAAATCAAATCCCTGTATTTTCTTCTTGGTCGATAAAACAGACTAATTTTCATGGTTCTGCGCATGAAAACAGTGGGAACCGTCCCTGGGTGGGCTCGAACCACCAACCTTTCGGTTAACAGCCGAACGCGCTAACCGATTGCGCCACAGAGACAACTGTACTTTTGAGTATAAAAAAGTTTGCTGATAGAATGACAACACCTCCCCCCCCCCCCCGAAAAAGTATATTCATTGTGAAATATTCATTTTTAATGGATAAATTCAGCCGTTTATATCTCATTATATTGGATTTGCCATTTAAATAAATGGATTAAAAGAAACATTTAAAATCAACCATATGATCGAGTTTCAAGATGAAAAGCATCTTTTTGTGTTAACTTAAAACACAAACTACAGTCCTCTTAATTCAGGAAAAAAGATTCGAAGAAATTAAGTCACGGAGTCACTTTAAGAGTGCACGGAGAGGTGAACATGCTATTAAAATTGTATAGAATGTAAAATTATTATTTGGTTTGTTATTTGAAATGTATATGTTTTTAATATGTCCACTTTTTAAAAAACACGTGTCTCTTATCTCTCTTGCAGGTAGTAAGCATTTAGGTCTGAACAGATTTGTTTATTTTGAAGTTGCTTCAGCTGATCAGCTTAAAAAATAATGACATTAACTCTTCAATAACAACTTTAATTACATGAAATTCATTTTTATTTCTAAAATCTTATTTTCTGTATCTTTTAGGACTGCCTCCTGGCTCACAGTGGGGATCTTGCAGTAGGCCCTCCTTTTTTGCCTCATCTGTTAGGAAAAGTAATATATTCTTTAATATAATATTTAGATTGAATGAAATCCCTACCAGTTTGCTTTCCTGTATCTTTTTCCTTGGCAAATAAAAAAGAATGAAGTTTGACTCAAAGAAAACCCTAAAATTTATCCTCTAAAATATATCCACTCTGTAAATGTTTTTGAACTCTTTAAAATTTTGTAGAAGATACTATAGTTGCCCTTTTTAATACAAATCATGAATTCTGTTAGCAAAATCAGCATGTCTTACAAACTGTTTTACTTCTTGGCCTTCTGACTAAAATCAAGTCTCATGTATATCTCTCTGTGTGTTCAGGCATGCAAGTTTTTATTCAGCAAAGCTTGCAAAATACCATGTTAGATTTTCCTTCTTTTAGTTATCATTGTTTACACTTTTAAAGTTCTTTCTTAAAGGTGTATTTATGGTTAAATGTAACAAAAATGAAATTGGAAGAAAAACAAGACAAAAGACATATGCTTGGGTTCTGAAATACAGCAAAACTGGTTCCAAATATAATTTATGTTCAAATTCCTGATGTTATTAACATTATGCCTGTCACCAAAAGATGTGCTTGCAATCAATTCTTTTTAACAAGCTCTAGGCAGAAATCTCTTGATGCAACTATAGGTTTTAGTTTAAATACACAAGGACACTCACTGTTCACTGTTATTTGCTCTGCATTCGTTCTGCTCCTCATTGGTTCATGCAGATCCCATAAGATCTGGACAAAAGGCACCCATTGATTAACAATGCATTTCTTGATTTTCCAGCAAATTCTACCCTTTAACCTCACTCTTTCCCATGACACTGCCTCAATTCTGTGCACTCAAAGGCACTCTGCACTCTAGAGCCCTTTCTTACCAAATACATTTTTTAACTATTTTATTTGGTTTCAATGGTTGAATATGTGGATTATTTGTGCTTTAATTGTATATGCTACCCAGTATCACAATGAATGAGATGGGTAGCCCTATACATTCAATCAATCAATAGGGCAAAAAAGAAACAACATATTTTTGCTTCAAAGGTCAGCTTTTAGAAGGTCTTTAAAAAGCTAGAGATCTGATGATCAGAGTTGTGGGAGAAACTGCCTCCCTCAGGTAGATTTTCATGTATCAAGAGGAGAAATAAAAAAACTGCAAATGTTTTTTTGTTTTTGTTTTACTCAGAGTTACAAATGAACTTGGATTTCATTCCTCAGTATACGTAAATTTATCTATTTATTTCTTCCATTAATTGCCCAAAACTGGATGTAAATAATGCAATATCTTTAATATACTTTTCAAGAAGTCCCATTTACATTATTCATCTGTAATATTCCAATATTCTCTTAATTCAGAAGTAAAGAGCAACCTAAAGTGTATTTTAGTGGACCAGAAAGATGTGCATTATGCATTCTTGGATTATCAAGATGGATGATATGGAAAAGGAATAAAAGAGGAGTATCTTAACATATCAGATGGTGTTGCAGTGGAAACAGGGTAGATGTAAATAAATATTTGTAGGTAGATTTGAAATTAATTTACATAAACGTGTATACAAAATAGGTAACCCAACACAGTTCCTTGGAAGTGCTTGAATTCAAATGTAATACTGGACTCAGGTTTTTACAACATTAAAATCCTTCAGTGAATTTATAGATCCTGGAATAACTGTACATATAAATAGCCTACCCACATTTCTCCACAATCCCACCCTCATCCATTTCTGTAGCTGTACTTCTAAAGGTTTGGGATACAGAATAGAATCACAGAATCTACAGTATCTATCATATTTAATATTCCTTATTCCTATTTTTCCCCGCAAGAAGCTATGATGTGAATTAGCCTAAGAGAAAGTGACAAGCTCAATGTCATCTAGAGAGCTTTCATGTCTAAAGTGGGTCTAGAATTCCCAGTTCTCCTTTTTTCTAGACCAGCACTCTAACCTCTATATCAAACTGGTATAGTATGCATTTGCCTGTTCTTTTTCTTTACTAAATGTTTGGGAGTTTTGTGTTTTACTATAGAATTTGATGACTGCCTTCCCATGCAGTTAATAGCAAGCAA